AATTGTTTGATATGGCTGATGTATTGTTATTGTAAAGCTGTAATATCTTAAATAGTTCTTCATAGATGATGATGATWAAAGAAATAATGAAGAGAAAACCAATGAAGAGAAAACGCTTTGAAATGTCTGCTTCCGCTTTCTCTTTTATTTCCGATACAGACTCGTACCCCTTAGCCTCGTTGTGATTCCTTGCATAAGAATTTTTGTTTCAACAGATATCATCAGCAAAAGTTTCCTTATTTCAGTCCATTTTGTTACTGATGAGAGGCGTTCTATGGTCTATTCATTTATATTGGGCAACTAGAGTAGAAAACTCTCATGAATTATAAATTATGTTTTATACAGGCCCTTAAAGGAGAACCCGGAGAGAAAGGTGTYCCCGGACCACCGGYAAGTGATTTATATCTGAATAAGAAGTCCTATTACGGTTAAAACCTTTCTGTTTGATTGCTCTCTTATCCATTCACCTCGTTAGTTACCTTTATTTTTATTCTTTGATTTCTAAACTTTTCATATAATCATGCTCTTCATGTCTTTGGTGACCCACCTGGGACTGATGGGTTGGGAACGGGGAAGTTTGGCGTAAACATTAGCTCCAATTTTGATATCTGTAATGAAACGACTGCATTTATTGCTTGTAGGGTCTTTATGGCCCTGTAGGAGTAAAGGGACCGGCTGGTCTAGCAGGAGAGCCAGGTGACCCGGTAAGTAAAAAACTACTTGCTATGTTTATATTACGATTAAAGCAACTGATTTTTTTTCTCTTTTTGAATTGTCTAGGGTCCAAAAGGCCCACCTGGACAAACTGGACCACGTGGCACAGTCGGCGCACCTGGAGAACCAGGTCGACCATTAATAAAAAGAATAGGAATACCMGGTCCCCCGGTAAGTATTTCCAACGTCCTTAATTATTGTAAGTTTTGTACTTCATTTATTTCATCTCTTTTTTCCTTTTTCCCTTTTATCCACTCAATGTTCCTGTTTGTTTTCAGGGTGCACGTGGTGCAAGGGGARCACCCGGTCTTCAAGGACCACCTGGTCTTGCTGGTGAGCCCGGTGAACCGGGAGTCCCGGGATTACGTGGAGAGCCCGTAAGTGAGCGAGACGRCTTGATATTTTTTTTTATAATTCAACATTTTGATAATATATCATCGTTGCCTCATTTGTTTTGTTTAGGGTAGCAATGGTGAACCTGGTTCGGCAGGAAATCCTGGTCGCGCAGGAATAAATGTATGTATCATTTCTTTGTATTATTTTTTTACCCGTCGATTATGGATAAACATCTTTTTATTTTCCTAGGGAACTAACGGACCACCTGGTGTTCCTGGACCCCCTGGTCCTCAAGGCCAAGCCGTAAGTATCTACATGCAACAACATTATGAAACCAAGCACAAGTTCAAAGAGCCAGTTTATACTCTGCCATTTCGGGGTTTTTTTTTCATTTTCTTCCCACGTGAAAGACAATAAAAACGATCTAAAAGGATCTTTTGGGTCGTTTAGGGACCAAAAGGCGAACCAGGCAACAAAGGAGATCAGGGCTTCAAAGGGGACCGCGGACGAACAGGTTTACGGGGACCAAAGGGAAACCGCGGAGATCGTGGTCTTAAGGTAAACAATACTTACAGCACAAGAAAACTAGTAGTAATAAAAATACGTTATTTGGTTGTTTTTCTTTTGTTTATGTAGTTTTTTTTCTCGTTTCTAGGGGGCTACAGGCATTGCCGGGGATGCAGGAAAGAATGGAACTGACGTAAGAAAATTCCAGCTGATAGTGTCAAAATTCCTTTCTCAATTGATAATGATTCGTTTATTTTCAGGGAGCTCCAGGTTCACCAGGAGAGGCTGGTCCTGAGGGCCCTCGTGGAGCAATTGTAAGTTTCGATTTCAAACTCTGAAAAAAAGCAAAACAAAACAAAACAAAATTTAACTGTGATGCCTACGAATGAGTGAGAAGGGGTGCAACACCTTCTGATCAGCTAATTAAYCCACGCACTTGTCTCTTGTTCTCTCATTTCATTCGTGGAGGTACAAGAACCACTGTTCGTTTTACAGTCATCATTTGAAATGTGATAAGTGCCTTTGTTCTTTTTAAGGGAAGAAGAGGAGAACCTGGAGACCAAGGACAAGCTGGACAAACGGTAAGATACTTAGTTGTAAGGCGTACATGTGCATGAAGTGTGCAAGCGCACAAGCTCTGTAAATCGGCCAAATAAAAACCAAGTAGTATACACGCTTATATCAAATGTTTCTACTTGAGGTAATATTTACAGTTACTTATGAATATATTAAGGGGCCGCAAGGATTACCAGGTTCGCCTGGAATACCTGGTCTTTCTGGAGAGAAAGGATCGAATGGAGAACCTGGTCCTGCTGGAGAACAAGGACCTGTGGTACGTAATAGCCAATGAAGATTTCATGCAATAACTATTACCTGTATTATAACCACTCCTCCACCCATTTCTACGACTTTTTACACTCATTCAACGACCTCACTTACTTAACCAATAACACCACTACACTTCTTTACTGTACGGCGTGGTTTGTACACCATTTCCTTTACGTTTCACTAGTTCTATCAAAGGCTATTGGAAAATTMACGTATTTATATGATTACAGGGTCCTGATGGCAATGCTGGCCCGCCTGGAAAACAAGGAGATAGCGGTGGAGCGGTCAGAAATTGAAATTGTTGGTTATACTCCTTTTTAATTACTATGCAATTACATGTATTTTTCTTTGTACATTTTAGGGTCGCCCCGGACGAAATGGAGCTCCAGGTCAGAAAGGTTCTGCGGTAAGAAACGAAATAAATCAAAGAATTTAATGTGCTTTAATACYTGGCATGAATTTCTAGGACTACRTAAAGCTTTTAGAAATATTTGACTAATATGACATTGTCATTGTATTTAGGGACCTCCTGGCCCGATGGGACCTCAAGGCTTACCAGGTGGTCCTGGACGACAGGTATGAAAAAMATATTGTCAGCAAATCTACATGGACTACTTATTTATGTTGATACGTATACGTAAACATTTCATACGTATCCGTAACCATCTGATRCTTATTCGTAAACATTTCATACATATCCTCCGCAATCATCTGTTACGTATCCGTAATCATCTGATACATATCCGCAAACACTAAATACATATCCGCAATCGTCTGTTACGTATCCGTAATCATCTGATACGTACCCGTAAGCACATTGTGTAATTGTTGCTGATTGTCTTTTAGGGAGATCCTGGTGGTGACGGACGGCCTGGTGCACGAGGAAAGAGRGTATGTGTCCAGTTACTGTGTTTCGTTAAGTAGTGAAACTCTCTRACATGTAACGCAACAGTGTTGCGCGATAACCTGTGATCTTTTGCGGCGTGTATCACCGCACCATAKYATCATAGTGAACTGATAAAGATTATTTGAAAATGTTTTTTTATAGGGAGATAATGGCAGAAATGGACAGCGAGGTCTACCAGGCGCACCCGGTGACAGAGTAAGTTAAACGAATTTCATATCATTAATTATGTTTAATTGTTGATTAGCTTCATCATACTAATCAAGCAATGTCTATAATTTAGGGAGATACAGGCCCTCAAGGACCGCAAGGACCACAAGGTCCAGTTGGTCGACCAGTAAGTTTGCAGTCAATTCAATTATGTGTACTATAATTGCCATTGATTCAAATCGTGTTTTTAGGGTCGCCGCGGTAAAGTTGGATCTCCAGGCAAACAGGGTGCTGCAGGACCAATTGTAAGTTCTAACCCACTTATCACATTATTATCACATATAACTTCATGTCATAGTTTTAACTATTATTAAAACAATGTCAATTTCTTGTTAGGGTTCTGTTGGACCACGTGGTGTTGGTGGCCGTCCAGGAAGCATTGGTGCTGACGTAAGTTCTTTGACATCGTGAATATTGGTCACCCTGTGTACTCATATTAGAATTTTTAGGGTGAAAACGGAGAACGCGGACTTCCCGGTGTTGATGGAACCAAGGGAGATCGTGGTCCTGATGGTACTCCTGGTGAAGACGGCATTCCTGGAGCTAGGGTACAGTAGGGTGTAATATACTTTTATGTGTTTACGTGCTATGGCTTTTTCCATTGATTAAAAACACTCCAAATGGTCTAATTGACCTATATTCCTGGCAAGCGAGTCACTTCATAATCTAGGCTTTTGGTAATAACAATTCAAATATCTCTATAACCTGACATGGGATCCATTTTGCGTTGATATTTTCGTTAATCCCGTTTCACTTGATTATTTGACATAAACAGAGAGTGTGATTTTCTTTGCACAATTCATGAATAAAGTATCTTATAGTCCGTTCAATTTTCAGGGAGCTCCAGGACCATCAGGCGATCCGGGTCGAAATGGAAAAGATGGCGCAAAGGTTTGCAACAGACCAATTTGTATGCACAGCTAAATCAAAAAACTGCTTTAAATGTCGTTAAAGGCGATCGGTATTGATGCTATTGTTGCTTAATCGTAGGGTGAAGCCGGTAAAGATGGAGACAATGGCTTGGGTGGACCTACTGTAAGTCTAGTGTTATTTTTCTGTTTTTGTTGTTGTTTTTTATATCTTCTTTTTCTGTAATTTGCAAAGGATTTTGATACAAGATACCAGTTTAACATTAAGAATAATTTCTTTTCCAGGGACCCCCCGGAATTCCTGGACAAATGGGAACTAGCGGACAGAAAGGAGAACAAGGCGCACCTGGCAAACCAGGCAGTTCTGGAGCTGCTGGTCTCCGAGGAGCCCCCGTAAGTTGGTTTATAATAACCAAGCAACAGTTGATACCATATGACTTACTCTTTGGGTCYTTCTTAGGGTGCTCGAGGAAACTATGGTGCGCGTGGCGAACCAGGAATTCCTGGAAGAGATGTAAGTGATCTTTTTCATTAATCCATCCAATTTTAACTCTTTTCTTCTTATTCCTAAAGCCAGCTGCAGGTGCTTGTGTGTCTTATGAAGTAAAGACGATCTTCCCTACAAGACACCAATAGCTTCAGGGTCGTTACGTTACGTTACGTTACGTTATCCCTAACAACTGTTTTCTTATTGTTTCTTTCAGGGTACACCCGGTCAACGAGGTGAACCAGGTCCAATTGGTATTCCTGGTCTAGCTGTAAGTAATATGTTTCCGCTTTTCAAATAATCTACCAGTAATATATTGGGTTTGCTACATATTAGGGCCAACAAGGTGAACCAGGACCTCAAGGACCACCTGGGCCCGACGGAAAGAGAGTAAGTGATATGTGAGTTGTCAGTTGTCATGGTACAGTTATCTTACTGTAGTTTATCTTGACTTACTAGGGTGGTGTAGGTGAGCGTGGACAGGACGGCCTTCCTGGACAAGTGGTACAGTATTGATTTGATTAATGAATTTACAAAATAGATTAAAAACACCAAACCATCGACGAACAATTCTTGAAAAACAATATCTAGACCTTGAATGATTACTTAGCTGTCAGATAGTCTAATAGGCAAGAAGATTTGCGTCTTGTTCAGCTATACACGTGCAAATAGTTAAGGAGATTTGTCTCTGTTTTTAGGGTGTCCCAGGACCACAAGGAGAACGTGGAGCAAGAGGTCTAAATGTAAGTGAATGTAATTTGTTACTAACTGATTTATTGGTATTGAATTAAGGTATATTCTTTGACCAGGGGAAATCTGGAGAAAAAGGAAAAGCCGGCGAGGCAGGAGCCGATGGAACACCAGTAAGAATACCAATCTTGTATTCATTAATGATTAATCAATTACCATTAGCCAACAAAAGTCATAGATGATGTTTCATTTTTTTTGTAACCAATACGTATTGTCTCTAGGGTGAACGGGGAGAACAAGGAAGCCCTGGACCTGTTGGATCCCCAGGCGCTTTGGTAAGGAACGAGATTGGATAATTAATTGACTGATAAATTGATTGATTGATTGATTGATTGACGGATAAATCGATTGATTGATTGATCGATTGATGAATGGATTGATTGATTGACGGATAAATCGATTGATTGATGGATTGTTTGACTGATGGATGGATGGATTGAGTGGTGGATGGATTGATGGATGGATGGATTGATTGACTGATGGATTGACTGATGGATTGATGATCTGATTATCACTAGGGTAACCCAGGACGACCAGGTCAACCCGGCCCAGCAGGACCTAAAGGAGAAGGCGTATGTACACATCTTGACTAATTCAATTATTGTCGTAACTTGTATTAATTCTTTTACATTGTGTTTGGTTTTAGGGTGATCCTGGTCCAACTGGTCGACGAGGAAACACCGGAACAGACGGTAAACGTGTAAGTATAATACCTATCTTAATCATTTTCTTCGCGAATGTAAAATTAATATTAATTCCTTTGTTTTTGTAAGGGATTTGCTGGACTTCCTGGTAAACCTGGACCCATGGGACCACGAGGAAACAGAGTAAGTCCAATACAGAGTAACGCATTGCTTTAAAAAACTAAACGGCAACAATCAATTCTAATCAATATTTTGTCTTCAGGGTGCTGCTGGTACCCCTGGTACTCCTGGCTTTTCTGGACAACCTGGTTTAACCGTAAGTTATTATCATACATTATTTCACACTGTTATTTATGGTATTTACCAACGTTATCGATTTAGGGTGTGCGTGGACCCCCTGGACCACCTGGAAGACCCGGTGATAATGGAAATCAGGTCAGTTATAATTAACCAGTCAAAACTTTGCTATATTTTAAAGACAACCGTGTTTTTTGCCAGAAGATGGGCGAGATATTCTGTTTTGAAAATGAGCCTTTATATCATAACTGATTGCATTTTTTTTATGTTCAGGGACCCCCTGGTTCTGTTGGTCGTCCTGGTCCAATTGGCGAACTTGGAGCGCCCGTAAGTCTTAATTGGCTGGTATATTTTGGCACGAGAATGATATTGATAGGCCTTTGATCTTTGATATAGGGAGAACAAGGAAGCCCTGGTGATCCTGGAGCTCCTGGAGAAATGGGCCCTCTCGTAAGTAGCTTCACTACACCATGAGAAATTAAATCAAAATCAAAGTTAGATAACAAGTCAATTTTCCGTTTTGTTTTCCAGGGACCAAATGGCGAACCTGGCCTAAAGGGCGGCAGTGGTCTAGCTGGAGCTATGGTAACGACCTTTTCTTTTCTCTTCTCAGAAGAGATCAGTGATCTTTCCTTCAATTCTCATTTATTCATGTTCCTTAGGTCTTTTTCAAAGTGTTCATTTCTTATATTAGGGCTCCCCAGGATCTCCTGGTGCAACTGGGCGAACCGGACAAGTTGGACAATCGGTAAATTGGATTTTCTTTTTAACTTTGATTAATTCATTAATTTAATGAGCTATACTATTGTAGTCTTAATTATATTTTTGTTCTACTCTTTTCACCACAGGGTCCACAAGGGCCTCAAGGACTCGACGGTGAACGTGGCTTGGACGGCGAAAAGGTAACTTAATCATAGACAACACTAGACGAACGCTTAATTTGATTATTAAATAAAGTAAGTAATGGCGAGTGGTTGGAAATAAGGAAATAAAACAGGAAGTTAAGACAGAGAAATTTAATTRAACATCTTAGTTTTGTTATTGTTTTAGGGTGATCCAGGTGCACCTGGTCTTAATGGCAAGCGTGGTATTCATGGACAAGCGGTACGTTTTGAAGGCCTTTTTTTGCGTTCAGCACGTCATAAAAGATKTGTACTGAACAACCAGTTCTAGTTACGTTTATTTTATTTTGGCTGCTGTTCTACAAGCAGCCCAACGACGTTTTTTTTTTTTTTAATTCAAGAGATGCGTTCTTGCACTTACTTTTTAGAATTTTATTATCTTCCTCACGGATATTGATTGACATCTATGCTTATAACTATAGTTCCATTATTTCATTAGGGGGCAGACGGCAAAGATGGAACCCGAGGACGACGAGGAGAACCAGGACGAGATGTAAGTCAAGTGAATACTTAATTGACTGGCTGTGATTTATTACTAACATACCATGATTGTTTCCAGGGTGACCGAGGACCAAATGGCGACAAGGGACCACGTGGTATACCTGGTCGTTCTGTAAGTAACCTGGTTACATTGTCACTACCCCTTAAATCACATATTTCTCATATCATTTATCTATTATGTTCCAGGGAGCGCCCGGAAACAGGGGACCACCTGGACCTCGTGGACCACAAGGACCAAGGGTAGGTTGCAATAATATCTATTGAGTATAGTTTTAAACRCGATCTCGAGTGTTTTAAACGGCTTCAAAAACTCTATCACTAGTTTGAAACTCAAATCCGTTAAAATTCTTGGAGAAATTGCCGTAAAAACAAATTTCAAGGTCATGGACCTTTATAACTGATAAAGGTCACCTTTATTAGTATTCTTTATATAAAGAATACTAATAAGGAGTGTTTTATCAGATATAAAGGTCCATGCACGTGACCAAATAGGCTGATTCTAACTCATTAGAATCAGCCTAATAACTCATTAATTATGTATGAGTTTTTGAATGATATTAGAAATGTCAATAGTAATAAACAATTATTACTGGCGATTTTTCTTTTAGGGTGACAGCGGTGATGGGGGACGCGATGGAAACCCAGGCCAGCAAGGCTCTCCGGTAAAAATGAAACTAAACATGCAAACACAGGGTTTTATTACAAAACTCTTACTTTCCATGGTATTCTGTTTCATGCACTTTGATTAATTCATGTGTTTTATAGGGAGAAGCTGGCTCTAAAGGACGACGAGGACGTGCAGGATTCCCCGGACGTCCCGTAAGTAGCAATCATAAAGGTTGTCCATATTTAGTATGGAATTATAATATCAAACATTTCCTTTTATTACTGTAGGGAACACCTGGATCTAGAGGAGCACCAGGAAACACAGGCCGACCAGGATTTAAGGTATGGTAAAAGATTACTGCTYGGTGTACTCATATTTTCTATAACTAATATTTTGGATACTTAGTTGAAAACGTCTGTGATGTCTTAGGGCAAGAAAGGTTTCTCTGGACAGCCTGGAAAACCTGGACTTCCTGGAGCTCGTGGACGTATTGGACCTCAAGGCTTAACTGGAGATCGTGGAAGGCCTGGCCAACAAGTAAGTTTGATAGTGCCAGCGAGAAGGCTTGCAAAATAGATGCACGTAAACACTGCGCGAAAGCAGTTAATATTTGGCCGTCTTCTGTATWCCGATACATGGTTACTCTTCGAAACGATACTCAGCAACCATTTACCTCAGAATCAGTGCTGACGATTATATTTCATTGTATTCTCTTGTAAGGGACGACCTGGAGAGGCTGGCGCTCCTGGTGAAGTTGGAATTACTGGAGACAGAGTAAGTCCTAGAAAGTCAATATATCACAATAGTCATGAATACGACGTTTCCAGCGTCTGCAAGTAACATTAAAATCCTGCTTAATATTTACAGGGAGACAATGGTGCCAAAGGAAATCGTGGTTCCCGTGGAAGGAGAGGTCAAAAGGTACGAACAATCAGTTTTAACACTGGGAAAAAAGCTTAACCTAAGTCAGTTATACGTTTTTTTTTTTTTAAGTTGACTCATGAAACTATCAATAATTATACACTTTTGAAAGTATCTGCGACAATTATTACAATCAATGCATTGATATATTTAAGGTAGCGTTTATGTTTGACTGATAGGGCCAAAAAGGACATCCTGGTTCTCCTGGCCGAGTTGGCTTCCCAGGCCGAAGAGTAAGTAAATTGAATTGATTCAAAACTATGAGACTCCCATAATATATTTTTGATTTATACGAATTTGTCCAAATGGTGGTTACTTAAGATAATTCAATTGATTTAGGGCCCAGAGGGAGATCCAGGCAGCCCTGGTGGAGCCGGTGAAGAAGGAGATAAGGTTTGGAATTCTTTATAAACGCAATGACACCARTGATATTAAAAAGTCAATTTTATGTCTTTGTCGTAGGGAGTCGACGGTCCTCCAGGTGTAATTGGCCCACAGGGCTTCGCAGGCCCAGCGGGTCCAAACGGTGCTAAAGGAGTCCAAGGAAGACCTGTAAGTAGACCAAAGTGCTGCAATCTCTTTCTAAGTAAAATGTTATAGATTCTGACGGGTTTTTTTTCTTTATGTTTTAGGGCCCCAATGGATTCCCTGTAAGTATAACAGATACAAGACAACACTAAACTTTTACCACCTCTAGTTTTAAACCTGGATCTTTCATGCCAATCTAGGGAATCTGTTAAAAATAGAACACTCTAAGTTAATTACATGTGTATAGTACGCATAATAATATACTTTATATATCCAATGCTCTTTTAATTCTGACTATAACTTTCTTACTTTGTTTATAGGGTCAAGATGGCCGAAGGGTAAGTGCATCWGTCTCTATATTTTACATTTTTTCCATAAAAGATCAGATTTAAAGTTTAGAATTTAATCTATTCATCATTTCTTCATTAGGGACCACCTGGACCTCCTGGACCTCGGGTAAGTTGCTATATTCAGGAAGTCATTTCCTATATTTTACCTAATGACACCAATTCAATGTTTAGGGCGATGACGGTGCCGTAGCACCACAAATGGTYCAATTTTCAAGAGGAGATCCCAATAAGGCAGGTGGAGCCGGTGGAGCCGGTGGAGGAGGTGGTAATGGTGGTGGAGGAGGAGGTGGTAACGGAGGAAATGGTCTCTTAACTGGTGGCGGAGGCGGAGGCGGAGGCGGAGGAGTATCAGGAGGAGCTGGAGGAGCAGGCGGAGCTGGAGGAGCAGGCGGAGCTGGAGGAGCAGGCGGAGCTGGAGGAGGTGGTGGAGCTGGTGGTGGTGGTTCATTTGGTGGTGGTGGCGGAGGAGGTAGTTTTGGTGGCGGAGGAACTGGCGGAGGAGGTAGTTTTGGTGGCGGAGGAACTGGCGGAGGAGGTAGTTTTGGTGGCGGAGGAGGTAGTTTTGGTGGCGGCGGAGGAGCTGGTGGCGGAGGAGCTGGTGGCGGAGGAGCTGGTGGTGGTGGTGGAGGTAGCTTTGGTGGTGGCGGAGGAACTACAATTGGAGGTGGTGGAGGTAGCTTTGGTGGAGGTGGAGGTAGCTTTGGTGGTGGCGGAGGAACTACTACAATTGGAGGTGGAGGTTTTGGTGGAGGTGATGGCCATGGTGGAGGCAGTTTTGGTGGAGGTGATGGTGGTGGAGGAGGAGGCATGGGTGGAGGAGGAGGCATGGGTGGAGGAGGAGGAGGCAGTTTTGGTGGAGGTCATGGTGGTGGAGGAGGCAGTTTTGGTGGAGGTGATGGTACTTTTACTACTACTACTGGTGGTGGTGATGGTGGAGGAGGATCTATTTCAATTGGTGGTGGAGACGGRGGATTCGATTTTGGCACAGGTTCAGGCGGAGCTGGAGGCGGACGAAAGGTAAGCCATTTTAAAGGATGACCCTATCATAGAGGCGTTACCATAAACACTGATCATTTCGTCCCACAGAAACGATCTCTTGGAGAAGTTGGTTCCCTTGACATCGATAGCAACAAGGCGGCGGTAAGTGTTTATTGTTGTTATTGTCAATACTAGTGCCAGGTTTTTGTTTTCGTGGTAGCAAATATTATAGGTAATGATATTTTTTTACTAGACCGATGAGTGGAGTCGTATGGCCTATCAAATAGCTAATGAAATGATGACATTTGAACGCCGAAATGGAACCAAACAATTCCCCGCCAAAACGTGCAAAGATCTTGCCATATGCTATCCAAGCTTGAAGAGTGGTAAGAAAGTTGTATAATGCAGTACTCTTCTCATTGTGTTACCTATTCATTTTAAAATTGAGTATTTGTTTCTTAGATTACTACTGGATTGATCCCAACCTGGGATCCAACAAAGATGCTGTTAGATTATACTGCAACATGACCTCCAAATCTACATGTGTTCCTCCCAAACAACAAGTAAGCAAACGCACACGAATTCTTTCGAGTATGGTGTCGTAGAATTTTCCATAGATACCTGAGTGGCATTCGTAAATCTTGTCGGTAGGGACACACAAAGACTGTTACTCCTATTACAAAATGATGTGTTTCCCAGATGAAATGCCATAATTCACTATTAAGAAAACAGACTAATTTACATTAGTATTACCATACTACGTTATTTATATATTTCATTCATTTTTTGTCCAACTAGTATGGTAATACTAAAGCATTTAGATCTCTCGGCCTCGTGGACTACGACCTGATAGTTATCTACTCGTAGTCCACTCGCCCTCGAGATCTAATTGTTAAACATTACAAGTGAAAATGGTTAAAGCAGCTTGGTAGTCAAATAAGATTATCCTAACTATTTTCTCTATTTATTCAGGTAAGCCGCAAGAAGTGGATGTCATTTAACAAGAATGGCTACAGCTGGTTCTCCGATGAAATGACCAACGGATTTAAGGTGTTTGCTAGCTTTAATTATTATCCAATGACTGGTTTACAMTAGTAACATCTTGCATGAAAACTCAGGCCCTTCGTTCTGTAATCACCGTAACTCTTCTTTAATCAAATCATATACTCAAACAACGATGTTTGAAACAAGTGTGAATTTAGTAGCATAAATTAAAATTAAAATCGAAGCAGAAGATTATTTCTTGTTTAGTGAGGATGGATTAAACCACAAACAGTCCCAGTGACTGAACTTCAGCCAAAATGAAAATGATTCTCTTTTTGTTTGGTTATAATTTAATCCTTTGTTTCAGATTCAATATGATATCGATGAAGTCCAATTATCTTTACTCCAACTCTTGAGTAGCAAGGCTGACCAGCTATTCACGTATCACTGTAAGAAGTCACTTGCCTGGCATGATCCCAAAATAAACTCTGCTAAAAAGGGCCTAAAACTTATGGGCGCCAACGAGTATGAATTTAAATCCATGAGCAACCGACGAACTAAGCCAGTTATATTATTAGATGACTGTAAGGTAAGTAAAACGGCTAACCTGGCTATAGATAATGCTGACAATATTTAACTATCGGCCATGAGTTGCGGACCCAGAACGTTACAAGGGGAGGGGGCTAAGTCAAGGAAAAAATGAATAAATAGTCTCCTTCACGGTTACCTGCGCCATCTTGAAAGGTAGCCGTGCCTTTACATGGAAGCGAGACGATGGTTGAGCGTGCAATGATAGAAACCTTCTTTCACACCTACAGACAATTATTCACAGGTATCTATCATTGCACGCTCAACGGTTGTCTCGCTTCCATTTCAGGCACGGCTTTTCAGATGAGCGTTGATTTAATTATTGATTTTGAAAATGASCCCCGTTAGATTCAATTTCTTTGTTTATTTATTGTTTCTATTTCTATATTTTTAGACCTTAAAAATGGGGAAGGGTAGTCACCTTAATCACCTTAATATTTGATAAAGCTGACGTGCGCTTTTTAGTGGTGCTTAAGATAAAAATTTTACAGGGATTTTAAAGAAATTTTGTGTACGAAAGCAATGTTATAACGGTGTATACTTCATTGCAGGTCCGTGATCTGCAATGGCGTAAGACGATTATCAAGCTCAACACAATGCAGTCCTCACGACTACCGATTGTAGATTTTGCCCCATACGATACAAGAGATGGTGAATTTGGAGTCGAACTCGGACCCGTTTGCTTCTCATAAGCTGTACATTAAGACTTATGAATTGTAAAATTTCTGTGTTCCCAGAGAGAACTAGCTAGAAAAGTGGCTAGCTACTCATGTTCGTTCTTATTACTAGGTTTCATTATATCACTCTCTTTCCATTGCTAGAAATATCTTAAATAGGAGGTTGAAAATCTGTGTACTTGGTCCACTGTCTCACATTAAAACTTTGTGTACATCATATGCTTGTCTGATAGGAAAATATAGATTTTTCTTGTTTATTGTTAGCAGTCGCTTAACGCCAGCCAATGAGTGGTATATTAATTAAAACCTTTGAAATATCAGTTATATATGAATATCATTATTGTATAAAAAGCCCCTGATGGCTGTGATTAAGGTTATAAAGCAATAGAAACTCTTTCAATAAAGGAAATAGATTATTAACATACTAGGACGTGAGAAATTCAGAAAAGGCCGCAATTTGATTAGATGTGTTTTACATGAAGAAGCTTCTCATGACAAAAATTACAGAAAATTGTTTATTTGAATAAAGGAAAATTAAATGGGAAAGATGAAGCAAGAAAAATGTCAAAAAGGGTACTTTTTTTCCTTGATGAAAGTTGAGTCGATTAGTTGTCCCACAGCGGGACAGCARCACATCACTACATTTGATTTGTATACTTGAGAGCTGACTGTTAGGACCTCAGGCAARTSTCGCATACGTTAACAAGTTTAGACTGCCCCACTTAGACCCTAAACATACTAGCAATTAACAGTGTTTATTGTAGATTGATACTGAAAAGATCCCCTACTGAGCCGAACCAATTTAGATCTTTAGCCATCATTTAAGTAAGTCTATTTGACCCCCTTCGAACACAGCTGTACATGGGAGTAAACCAGCGGGAAGTTTACAAACACTTTTACTACTATCACTCTATAAGCTATAACCATTGTAATGCAATTCAGTGACACAAGGAAGTAGAGGGCTTCGGGTATTTCAAAATGCGTGTTTAGGATAAGGACACATGCGGTGGAGCAATTAACGTTCTTCCCTCCTCGGTCCCATGCGTGTTACATGTGGTATAGCCCATAGCCTCGAGCGWGTGAAATACACTCGTTTGCTTCTTGTGTAAATTTCTTGATAGCACATTTACTCAATCACAGTTGGGCGTATGRGCAAGCCTTTGAAACTGGTAAGCMATTTGTAAKAACAATCAACCGACCCTAAGAGCCGGAACACGCGTCAAACGCTCAATATGTTAAAAATAACACGTATTCGACTCAACATGTTTCAATGTACAAAAATTATAAGATTTATCTTTGGGGGAAATGTTTACCTTGAACTTGTGTGAAGACACAACATTTCAAATAAGGAAAAATATTGAAAGTTGTATGTCTCTATCTACCTTAGATACAGACTAAAGACCACAGGTATCAATACAAATTGTATTTTTAGTACCAATAGGCTATAAACTCCATGACCCGGGCCCATTGTATTTTCGAAATAGCTTTTAACAATCAGAAAAGGTCAGCAGGACGTATAAACATGACGCTTTTAGATTTCATTTCTAAGATGTTAAATTACAACCCAAAAATCAAGCGAATAAATCAGAATCAACGTATAGGAAATCTCAGTGAAAAACGGTTTTGATTGACATGTCTTAGAAGCGATTACTGTCAAAAGTAAAAATCTATCGAGTGTTTCTTATGTCAGATTAGAGAACAAATCTTTCAAGAAGSTAGTTAAAGTACAAAGCGAAGGAATTTAGTCGAGAGCACCATCCAAAGACGTGCAGTCCCAGATCGGTGAATAGCATCACGAATCACTCTTGTGTACTTTGGAAGCGTATAACGGAAAGTGAACTTTAACATACAAATGCTAAGACTATTAGAGAGTTTATGTTTCTTGCACGTACTCGAAGAGATGATGCATGAAGCGCGCTGAAGATGTGAAGTGTTTTGGCTATGAACATGTAGCTTCTCTTTTAGCTTTTTGTTAGGAAACAATCCAAGCGTTTGATAAATTCAATAATCCATACAGATGAACGACACTAATTAGTTCAATCAATAGGAAAGTAACACTTCAAAGTGATATTCTCCTCCCAAATAATTACTCTCCACGCCTCTTTTCTCTTAGTTGTCATTCATTGGAACAAACACTGGCGTATAATTGGCTGACTAGCCTTCTTACGCACACGTGCTTTGCGTGTCAAGTAAAATTCTTCATCGCGACTGAACCGTCAGTGTATTTTACCGTTGTGAGCTGAGCAAAAATGAAAGTGTTCTCCGTTTGCCTTGTGTTTTTGGGTATGGTGGGAATGGCGGATTGTGTCGTTTATGGGTTGTTATTGAGCTTAACAGCGGCGGATAACGGTGGAAGACAGTCATCATCGTCAAACGCCACATCTCACGACATTATCAAAGTAAGGAGAATATATCATGCTTCTTACTTGAAATAAATAGTCTCATAGTGAATTTTCTTTTTGAAGAGCGGTGGTTCCATGTGCAGAAAAGATAAACACTGTGGAYATGGACGATATTGTCATCGTTTTTATGGGACGTGTCACGATTTGAAACCGTTGGGTTCTCATTGTCGTCGAGATCATGTTTGTGACCATAGTATGGAATGTGTGTTTGGTAAATGCAGGAAAAGTGTTCCTAAAGGTCATCTAAACTCTCGTTGCACAATTGATGGTCAGTGTAACAAGGGACTGTGTTGCGCACCAACTCATGGTGAATGGCTGTGCAAAAAGATGCTAAGGGAAGATGATATTTGCTCTGTATCCGAAGGAGGGATAGCTTTCAGAATTAACCATCGTTGCCCTTGCGGGGAGGGCTTTGCATGCAAGAAAGTGCGCCATCATAGGAAAAAAAGGTAAACGTTTTATTGCTATCTTGTTTATTGACAATCRCTGGGTCATTTTATTTCCAATCCAGTCCGACGTGCTTGGCAGCGAGCATAAAGATATCTATCAAACTTTATCTCTTTTCTGATAATCTCTTTTYTAATCGGATTGTTTATTTCATTTTTTTGACAGGATTTCGAGATTATTTCGGAAAGAACGTCGCTGCGTCAAGATTAGCTGAATGAATTGTCATTTTATAAGCCTCTTTACGATAAACAATGTCATGTGTCCAAGGCACAAGTATTGACGATAGGTGCACCACTGAAAGGGCACTTTAAAAAAACAACAGAGACGTTAAGATAGATTGTAAATAGCATGGATATAAAACAACTAGAATAAGTCAGATGAGTTGTAAAACGTAGCTTTCATCTCATAACATATAGATTAAAGTCTTTCAGAGGAACACTGCATGTTCAGACCTTTGAATATTATATATTCATAATTGAAAACAGGGTTAACACGTCTTTAAACAAAAGACTTCACAAACATTCACTAACAGCAGACTGTCAACAAGAAACAAGAAAAAAAAACTTCAGCGAAAAACTACTTAAGTGTGTCAAAATGCTCTTATCTGTTAACGTAGGGTCTTTTTATCTGTCAAACATGATGCTTAGGTTCTTGATTTACTTTCGTCATAGCCAGGACAAATAAATAAATMCTAATCCTATTATTGTCTGAGGACAATATAACAGCTTGTAAATCAGTATTTTAAAGTAAAAACTATTAAAACTGAATTCATTTTAGTGCTTGATATTTCTTACATGTTTTGACACGGAAAAGTCAAACAGTGCTGATGGATTTTAGCTTGACAAAAGCACTGAAAAAGCTGTCTGGAGTCTTGAAGGACTTACTACGACCGTAATGCTTATAATACTTATGATGACAATGGGATAAACCACCCAAAAGACAAGAACAAAAGAAATGTCAATGGTAATTTTATAGCACCGTTGCAATTTGAGTAATTAAAGTTGTTAACATAAAAAAAGATTAGAACAAAAGCTTTTCTAATGAGGTGGGAGGGAAACGGGGCTTGTAAAAATGTTTAGAAACACAAAGAAAGATAACTCGAAGTCAGGTGCGTTTGACAACTTTTCGTGTTTACAAGGAAACCTTGCGTAATTCGAATTAGTGGACACTGATTTGCTTTCTCGCGATTATATTAATTAACAAGTTAGTTACAGAATAAACAACGATAAAATCTCTTGTAACGCGAATTGGAATATCGGAATAGCACATGATACTCCTCTCCACGAGACGAGTTTACCTCGATTCACAAAATGAAACTTGCGCTACAATAAAGCAACGATTTCGAACGGAATGCAAAAGCTCATGCCAACATACTCGCGTAAAAGCTTTTAAAATGTGGATTTTGTAATGCATATGTTTTCGCACGGGCTCTGTCGACTCAATATCCTGACAGCCGCATTCCGCGACGATTTGTCAGATTCAAAAATATGCGATAATTGAAACAAGATTTGCGTAAAGGTTTTTCCGGTGCCGGCCTGAAATAGTAAATAGTCATAACGCAGAACTCTATTTAACTCAACAGTGAAATCTTGTGACATTTATATCCTGAAAAAATTGTTTTCTTTCCTTTTTTTGTCATTAATCCATAAAAATACGTTATTAAGTTTGGAAATATCGTGTGATTTTTGTCATTTTTCACCAACAAGCTATAACTCAAAGAAAAAAGGAAAAATAGATTAAAGAGACAATCATACATCTGAATCATTTTATTTACAATAAGTATAAACATAACTACATGAATATTAATGAGTTGACTGGTGCTATGAATTTTCGACTTGATCTAAATATTTTTGAATTTCTCGTACAGCTTCACGGCGTCTTAGTTTTACAGTTTCATTGCCTTGTGTTTCTATAGTGTCTAAATCTAAAATGCACCTAAGAAGCATTTCTGTAAAGTACAACCGCTGCTTTTCAGTCTTCGAGAGCTCAGAAAAAGTATCGTTGGAAACGAGTTCTCTTGCYTTTTTTAGTTGTACCTCAATCTGTTCAAGTTTCTTTGTTATTTCGTCTTGAATAGTTTCCTCTTGCTTGCACTCTTCGGTGACAACGTCGTCTTTCGCATTTTCTGATTGACAGGAATTTTCTGTTACAGGAAGTTCATCATTGTTATGGTTTACTTCCGGTATCTCTACTTCCGGTTGATTTTCAGAATCTTTGAAAGTGTCTTCAGTTTGGCTGGCGTACATGCTTTCCTGAGGCTGTTGAGCAGGCTCGTTTATCTCAGATTCGTCAGCAGTTTCATAATTGTCTGAATTCTCCTCTTCATTTCTTGAGACTTCTTCTTCATCTTGAGTTTGACGATCTTTCTCTTCCTCGTCCGACTCGGTGACACTCAAATGAGACATTTGGTGCTCAGGTGATACTGACTCATGATTATCTGAATCATTGTGACCATTGTCAGTGTTCTTTGAAGGACGACGATCGTTGTTTTCAATTAGGTTTTCATCAGAAATAGGCTGATGTCGTGCTTCTTGCTTTGTTTTAGTAGTTTTTGGTTTACACTTTCTACATTTGCCTTTGCGATGAGGAGCGCATTGTTTCTTTCTTTGTGGATAGTCTTCTTCATCGGACATCATTATCTCAGTTGGAAAGTTCCACATGAAAGATGGATTGACAAACCTTCTTGCGGACTGAGACCTTTGCCGGTAGAATGAAGGATAACTGTTTGTCCATGGATTGAAGCTATCATAGCCATATCCACGTTCAAATGCTTCCAAGGGATTCGATGAAAACATTCCAAATGCCATTGAAATTCTTGATAATATTGTTTCAAAGCTTTTTTAACGTTTGAACTATTCAGCGCCAGCGCCGTTCGCTTTTATACCCTTTTAGTCGCTTTTCTGCATCATTCCGGAACTTTCGTGACATTYTAAATTTGCTGTCACGTCATTTCTGGATTCTGATTCGTTCATTCTGGAATGTTCCAGACATCTGACCTAATGTTCTAAATATGGTACATCACGCCATTTCTGGAAGGCTTCAAAAAGTACAAAATATTTCCTAAACTGGTATAATGACTTGCTAAAAYGCTTTTTTTGAGTCGAAATATCTCGAAAAAATTCGAAGCATGATAAGAAGTCATTAAAAGTACATTTTTGGATGAATATCTGGGACAAATCGATCAGTTTATGGCCGGTTTATTGTTTGTCTAAGAATCGAAACGAAATTCTTCAAGACAAATAATATTCCATGTAGTTAAAAGTGAGAAAATAAAGATACAAGTTGTTACAGAGACGAATAGAAGTGAAATTTGTCCACAGCTTCTTTAGATATGACGAATTCTTGCATTTTCTCGACARTTCGAGGGAAGCTTCTCGAAATTGCGTRACATTAGTCAGGGTAAACCCCCGAAATTTCGAGACGAWTCGAGAATCCACAACCAACTGCTATAAAAGCAAACGACCTGCTTTGTCGTCATTCATTGYTATACGACAAAGTGAATACAGCGTTACACAAAMGATTTTCAAATGGGGAAAGATTACTACGAAGTTCTCAACGTTTCAAAGTCGGCCACAGCCGATGAAATCAAGAAAGCTTACAGAAAGCAAGCCCTCAAGTATCATCCTGATAAAAACAAAAGTCCAAACGCCGAGGAGAAATTTAAGGAGATTTCTCAGGCTTATGAAGTTCTAAGCGACCCACAGAAGAAAGAMGTCTATGATAAATATGGGGAAGAAGGTCTTAAAGGACARCCACAGCCAGATTTCCAAGGACAAAACATGAACTTTGGAGGTCCTGGTGGATTCACCTACACAACKTACTCGAGTGGCGATGCAAGAGAAACATTCAGGAGAGTATTTGGAGATGAAGACCCGTTCGCTGACTTAATCGGTGGTCTTGGTGGCTTTAACTTCTCARGCTTTGGACCAAAAAACCGTAAGRGCTCTCAGAGAATWTTCGTCAACGGCGACGACGATTTTGACTTTGGTTCTTCACCAGCGCACAAGAAACAAAAAATCGTACAAGATCCACCGATCGAAAAGGACCTCAACGTCACATTCGAGGACCTAAATAAAGGCGCTGTAAAGAAACTAAAGATATCAAGAACAATAACAGATGAAAATGGATTTCAAACSACAGARGAAAACATTCTTACAGTGAACATCAAGCCTGGTTGGAAAGAAGGAACCAAARTAACATTTGCCAAAGAGGGAGACAGAAGACCCGGTGTCATCCCTGCTGATGTTGTCTTKAAAATCAAAGACAAACCTCACAAAAACTTTACAAGGGACAAGGACAATAATTTGCTGCACACTGTCAAAATATCCCTCAAAGACGCATTGGCTGGAGGGTATWGTGTAGATGTCCCTACATTAAGCGGGAGAAARATAAGAATTCATAACGATAGTGATGTGATACAACCTGGTTCAACAAAGATCATACCCGGAGAAGGCCTGCCTTTGCCCAAGAATCCAAGCTCAAAGGGAGATCTAATAGTGAAATATGACGTATATTTCCCTAACCACCTCCCAACTTRCACTAAAAATACAATTGTGGGMTTGTTGCCAAAMTAAAACTGCCMTGTTGTGCTATATATTTATATATTGTAAGAATCTTTTRTAAATTCGATTTAGATTGTACAGTTATTTCGCACACWCTATCTTGTATATATTATATGCTAWTAAATAGAAAATAAATATTTTATTATTTGCATATTTTTGCGCTTGTTTTTCATTTTTCATTCTCACCCATTAAYAAATGTTGGGATTCCTGTGTTGTTACCGCGTTGTTCAAACCAGCGGCGTTCTATTCTAAACCTTTCTTTTCCATGCTTCTCGTAGCGAGAAGGACACGTCTGTTCAGWAGAGCAATAAGATCTGTTCTTTCACGAAACAGGAAYTSTCCTACAACGCATTTAAAACTACATTCGAGACTTCTTGTGGCTATGTCAAGCAACGATCAAAATACCGTGCCAAATGACCATTCAGTCGAGCAACAACTTGGGTAAGATGTCTTTGATTTTTTTAAGTTTATAGAGTTCTCCTTGAAAAGTTTATTARTTTTATTGAAATTTTCTACTAATAYAGCCCAGATGGAAAACCACTGTCCAAAAAGGCTCTGAAAAAGCTAGAGAAGGAAAAAGAGAAGGAGAAGAAGAAATCAGAGCGAGAAGCACAACGAGTAAGAAAAGCAATAATAAACCATTCATTCAAAGGCTTATTATTTAAGCTTATAATTGTACACCGTCTTGATTCATTTATGTACAATTGATGAAGTTTGCCTGTTAACTTGAAATATGAAATTTTAGTAGAACCAGYTTTCGGTGGTCATAGAGGGATGTTCTCGTTTGTAAACATCAAAATTGTACAATAATAAGTACTGTACAAACATAAATTAAATTAACTTAATTATGTAGATTATTGTATAGAAAGGAATATTTTTAGATTTAACACATTCTCACTGACTGATGAACGTATTTATATAAGAGAACAGATACATGGTTTGCCACCATGATCTTTTGGACTGCATGTTGTAAACAAACAGTAAGGCTGTTTGAGCTACCTGTGCTTTCCAAAAGGTCTTTATGATACATAGATATACAGTGTACACAGATTGAAGAAATGATTCAGATACTAATACTGAATACTGACTGACTTATTTTTGAAGGCAGCAGAAGTTGCAGCTCAAGATGCTGATGTAAGTTTATAATCATTAATTATGGCATTATTCCTGTTAAATGTATTTACGAGTTTGTGAGTACACAATTGKTGATGTATGYTACTGCATGATGATGTCAGTACAAAAAATATCTTTTTTTCATCAACTCGTAGGATTATGCAAAAGACCGATATTGTGTCCTACCTTTACTGCAGTCCAGTGAGAAGACCTGTAAGTTAATCATTATTTTTAAAGTTTTACATTTAAGATTTGCTGGGTCTACATTAAAATGTGAAATCATAGACTAACACAAAATAGTTATGATTAAGGAAGCAAGATGATTAAGTGATAACAGCTTGAATGGTTTTATATTCAGCTAAAAAATGGACAAAGGTTCAAAATCTGAATGAGGATTTAGCAGGGAAGCAAGTATTGATACGGGCTCGCCTCCATACCTCAAGAGGAACAGGTAAAATGCAAAACACTTTTTGATGTTTTAATTCTTTATTAAAGTCTTATCATAAATTGTTTGTTCACTATTCAGGCAAACAATGTTTCATCACTCTACGAGACAGGCAGTACACAATCCAGGCTATTTGTGCTGTCAGTGACACTGTCAGTAAACCAATGGTGAAGTTCGCAACTGCGTATGTATAGCTATAYTTGTTGAAGTAGATTTATCACCATGTTGAGTGGATTTTGAATTATATGTAATTCCCTTCTTTTTCAGAATTAACAAGGAGTCTATCATAGATGTTGAAGGAGAAGTGAAAAAAGTTGATCAAAAGATCAAAAGCTGTAGTCAACAAGATGTGGAAATTTGTGTATCAAAGGTACATTCTWCTTTTTGAAGATAAAAGACAAAGTCCTGTGTTAGGTTATCTTCTCAATCTTTTTGATGAGGATCATTTTGAGCAATAATTGATGATGCATATCTATATTTCTAGATACATTCTTGGAGATACTGAGTATGTTAAAACATGTATTAGTTTATTTTTATTGGCTTTAAAATCTTTAGTTTAAGACTATAGAGTGACATTGTTGGCACGATCCAAAAATCTGTGTAAATCATTAGTTGGTAATGCTTCTTTTGTTTGAATTTCAGCTGTTTGTTGTAAGCATGTCAGAGCCACGTCTTCCATTACAAATAGAAGATGCATCAAGACCTGAAACTGATGAGGTTTTCATGTTTCTGTGATTTCTGTATATATTTAGCTTCCATTCATAAGCAATCCCATTTATTCATTCATCCTTTTATTTATCCTTTCATTTATCCACTAGTTTGTTTATTCACTTGTTCACTTGCTCTTTCATTCATTTATGCATTTGCTCATTCCATATATTTCATTTGCTTTTCATTGCAAAAAAAACCATTTAAATTCATTTATCTACCAGTTGTTTTGTGATTATTTGTTATTGGWATTATTGGCRTATTTGGCATCAAACTGCCTAAAGACAGTATGAGCAAACTTTATTAATATTGCATTTTATTCATAGCTGGCACATGTCAATCAAGACACAAGACTAGACAACAGGATTATTGATTTACGAGTAGGTGACRCCTTTATCGTACTATATTCTGGTGCCAGTTKTGCAAATATGTGGATAAAGTTATYYACTCAGTWGATTTTATCTGCTGGATAAGGATTCATCTGGTGAATTGCGCTTTACATCCTTTGTTCATCTGGTCCCTGTTAACTGTATGCTATAATGTAAACTATAAGTATGATAACTTATTATCGTATGTGAACAGAACATTGATGTAAAGTGTATAATTCTTTTTAGACAATTCCTAATCAAGCCATCTTTAGTATTGAGGCWGGTGTTTGCAAATTGTTCAGAGAATTCTTGGACTCAAGAGGATTTCATGAAGTTCATACTCCTAAGATTATTTCAGGTATAGTAAGAGGTTCTCAAATGGAAATGCTGAGCAAACATTTACATTGGTTCAAGATTGACCCATTCTTTCATTATTATTGATAAACGTCATGAATAATTACAATATTATGATGTCTTTAGCTGCAAGTGAAGGTGGTGCAAATGTATTTGAGGTCTCCTACTTTAAGGGTGAGTGTTTTAATGCATAAAACAGTTTATAGAATTATTTGTTGTTGTTTTTTACCACTGTCTTGTTATGTATTACAGCACCTAGTACTCAGCCAGTCAATCATCTAGTCAATGACAAATTTTTATCAATTTTGGGATATACTTAATTTATTTTTATTTTGAATTTCTTCCAGGAAAAGCATACCTTGCTCAATCTCCACAGCTYTACAAACAGATGGTTCTTGCTGCTGACTTTGACCGTGTTTACACTATTGGATCAGGTAATTGAAGTCATAATATATGAATATTCTCATCATTTTTATTGGTTGGTACATTACCGATCACCATAATGTCTGATTTCAAGCAACTTTATTTCTTTTCAATCAAATTTTGRCAGTGTTTCGTGCTGAAGATAGCAACACTCATCGACATTTATGTGAGTTTATTGGACTTGACGTGGAGATGACATTCTATGAACATTATCATGAGGTAAAGTTGTGTTTTAAGGTTTAAAATCATTACTAAAATATCTCTGCTTTTGTTAATATATCTTCCTTTTTATCTATTGATTACATATTTAGGTGATTCATACTATTGGGGACATGTTTAACTCCATCTTCAAGGGTCTACAGGAAAGGTATAGCATATTGTGGTTATTGTTAAGGTCTGAGCAGGGGTTGATCAGATTTTCCAAAAAGCTATAAAGTGTAAATATCAATATGATTGCTGAATGTTTGTTTCATTTTTAAAATCATGCAATAATTAGAGAAGAAATTGGAAGAAATTTGTTGTCTTATTTGGGAGGTCATAAAGGCATCTCACCCCTGTGGATCTCTACAGTAGTTTTTTACTCTGATATTTATTGTAGATATGCTGATGATATTGCAAAAGTCCAGAAACAATATCCAAGTGAACCTTTCAAGTTTGTAGAACCAAGGTATTGCTGTTATAGGATGTTACAATAGTAATAATGGTAATAATAAGTAATAATATCAGTAATATTGAATTGAACACTGTCGGCTTAATTTGTTTGATATCTCTTTTTCCATTTAGTTTGGTTCTCAAATATCATGAAGGTGTGGACATGCTAAGAGAAGCTGGTGTTGAGATGGAATATGATGAAGATTTAAGGTATTGCAATAAATTGCAGAGCCAATAGTATAAACTGTGCACATCATGAAGTTACAGCCAAATCTGATCTGGTTTTGAGAGTATGTGCCCAAGTCATCATGAAAATGTTATGATAACATCATAGATATGCTCTGCTCTGAAGTACTGATTAATATAATCTAATATATCTAAATAAATAACTGACTAATTTGATCTATTTTCAGTACACCAAACGAAAAACTGTTGGGTAAACTAGTKAAACAAAAGTATGACACTGACTTCTTCATCCTGGACAAGTATCCATTGTGTGTGCGCCCATTCTATACCATGCCAGACCCATTCAACCCTGTAAGTTACTTACATTTCCAGGGGTATAATCATTTCAAAGCGAATCTATTTGAGCTTTTACTCATACACATAAAGTGAACATTTTTTTTATAGTTATCTTTCGTTATCTGTTTTTGATGTGTTATTTTATGTTGCACAGGAACTGAGTAATTCATATGACATGTTCATGAGAGGMGAGGAAGTTCTTTCAGGTGCTCAGCGTATCCATGACCCAGAAATGTTAACAGAAAGAGCCAAGCATCATGGCATTGGTAAGTTGTCACATATTAAACAAGTTAAAGTAATCATAGTCAATATATTATTGAAATATACCTTAACTAGTAAGCGTTGGTAATCATAAAAGTGTTTCCTTTATTTTGTTACAGAGCTAGAACAGATCAAGGCATATATTGATTCCTTCCGATATGGTGCCCCACCCCATGCTGGAGGWGGAATAGGTAATATAGATGATTGTTTGATTAAATATGGAGGCTCTTCAAAGAGTTTAAGTAACAATGCACGTAAGAACTGTAGAACTCTCTATTGTTCTGCGGCATTGCAACTTCCCCACATACAAATGTCTTGGTTTTCACAGTGATTATATATCTTCCTATGGGTAACGCATTTTTGAAATAAAATGTGGATAAACTCTATTTTGAAACAAAGTTTCTTTTGTATTAAAACCTCTTATCCAATCATAAGCACTCAAATCAATAGCCAAAAGAAGCTTCTAATTTGCTATGTTCCCCACATAGAATTGCCTTAATATTGTAGCTAAAGAGAGCTTTCATGAAGTCGGAATCAGATATTATAATATTTTTTAGAAAATGCGCTAACTTGTAAAATTATAGCAGATTTTCTTGTTTGAACCAATGGGATGGATGGATTATACAATACATAATTAGCACCTTCTTGCATTCCTTTGCCGTTTGCTTCTATAGTTCTTACTCGGGCCATTACTTAAGTATCAAGCAACATCACTCCAACATTGCTAAAAATTTAGCAAAGTCTTGCCATTTCCCATTGGTTACATAACAAGTTCAGAACCCCCTGGTTCTCACAAATCCCTAGTGATTTATTAGAAAAAGAAAAATCAAATCAATTGTTTTCTGGCTAAAATGCTAATGCAAAGTTTATGTTATTTAGTAATTTATTATCACATATTATATTTCAGGTCTTGCAAGAGTGGTTATGCTGTACCTTAATTTACATAACATCAGAAAGTCCTCTATGTTTCCACGTGATCCWAAACGTGTTACTCCTTGAGAGGCAGTACATTTTATTTGTTAAAATAAATGCAATCATTCCATTTGCAATTGTCAGTAATAAAATCCAATCCTCAATCTACTAAGCTGTGTTTTATCATGGAGACATTTCTTCTCGCAGTGTGCAATATATGGAAGAATATTTCAATCTTTCTGATGTCTTCACAAAGAAAGCAGATTTTTTAAAGTTTACTTTTGTGCATATTGCTGCAACACRATATTAGTCATATGACTTATTGATTGAGTGGGAGGGTCATACTATCAAATATTTGGCTTGAGGTCATGCCAAGAGGAAAATACAGGTCATACGATAAGTTATGTTTTCCCTAATGGTGCCTGCTTCTTACTAAACCAGCAATCACAACATCTCCCAAAAATATGGCAGTTTAAAATTGGTCTTCTTGTTGATAAAAAATGTTTAGAGCCTGATAATACATAACATTATTTTAATTTCATGCTCAGCACAAATTTACAAAACACCTAGAGTAACAGTAATCTCAATGAATTTATTGTGGAGTTAGTGACATACACATTGATAGAGAATGTTGTGAAAGAATAACAAGAAAGCCTCTTTCTTTGTGGTAAAAAGTTTGAATGCTTGTGGTTCTTTCACAAAATACAGAACACTAATACTAGCTAGCTACRATATGGTTTTACAAGTTTTGCTAAGACACTATTGCAGCAAGGTAATCTTTGATCTCGGCTGGTGACAATCGACGGAAACCATTTTCATTACAGACACCAATCTCTATGTTATCTTCAGTCATTTGGCCTTCAAAACTCTCCTGCAAACAACAAATAAATTATTATACAATAAATAATTCTATTGGTTAGGCAAGTCATTATTGATATTATATACATGTATGTAAGTCCACATTTTTAAAAAGTTTTCAAGGCATACTTTTAGTGTTAATATTGCAGTATGAATAGCATCTTCCAGTTCTAGACTCTCGTTGTACCTGTAAAATAACAGAAATGTATAAAAAATTTGAATTGAAATAGTAGAGGTACAGGAAATATATGTACTGGTCAGTCAATGTACCTACCGTTTTTCTAAAAATGTTTTTCCATTGACGTAATTCTTTCCCATGGCTGTTGCCTTCCATGCAAAATATGCACCCTATATAACATTGAAAACATAGTTATAGACAATCATTTGTAAATCAAAAATGTTAAATGCCAGACACTTTACACTAAAAGTCAAAGGAGACAAAATAAGTCCAGCAGAGCATATGATGGTACAATCACGACATGTATATGTCATTTCCCACCCCTCCCTCTGTGAGGAAAATTCATACTTACAGAGGGATCACACTGGAACAAATATGGCCTATCATCATCCCAACCAGCTACTAAGAGTGAAACTCCAAATGGCCTAACACCACTGCATGTTAGAAAAAATACAAAATAGTACATCAGATAAACTAGAAAATAAAAATAACAGAAAATAGAAAAATACAGCGAAAAAAATCAAATTTGAACAATCAATGTCTAATRTTATCCATACCCTGATTGTGTATATTCCTGCATTACAGATGCAAGTCTTTGTACAAGTTGAGAAGCTGGTATTTGTTCTTTGTACATCAAATAGTATTGCTGTGCAATCTTTCTGGCATGACGAACAAGCACTCTGTAAAACAAAACATTTCTATTCAAAACACAAATTSATGTTCGCAAAATATCGCTGTATTACTAGAACTAAACCCTTCATTTATGTATAAGGATTTTTTTGTGAGTTCTGGAATATTCCAGGGAGAATCAAGGATTTGCTTTGGGTGAYAAAATGGTAATGTCCCTCTAAACAAGCCCTCTATTCCATGATATGCAAAAACATTGTACAACTAGTACATTGTACAAACTACACCTGAGATCTCGTAGTAGAACAGCTCACCTGTAATCAGGCCCCATACCACTGTAGATCATTCCAATGTTTTTTGTAACTATCTCAACCTACATTAAATCAGGACATGTTATGATTATCTTACCTCAATGACAATCATTAAAAATACAGTTATTTYGTTATTAATACCTTATGAATAGTACTGTCATCATAGAGAATGGACTTTTGTTTCTTTTCTGCTGCCAACACTACTCCATTTGAAGCTATGGGTTAATGACCACAGAAGAATATTAACACTTTTTTCACAATTTACAATAAGAAGATTTTCAACTTTTATTTGTTTCTTGTATATTCACWTTTTAGAATTGTAATATGATGTAGRAGTTTTAAATGTATTACAGAAATTGCAGTAGAGTATTCAAGCTTTGAGGCTTACTATCCTGATTATAGTTCTGACAAGATAAAGACATTACATATCCTGATTATAGTTCTGACAAGATAAAGACATTACATATCCTGATTATAGTTCTGACAAGATAAAGACATTACACACAGCTCAGATCTCTAATACACTCCCCAATGTACCTTTAATTCCAACGGAAGGTCCACCAGCGGCGACAGCAGCCAAGGCATATTCAATCTGTACCAGTTTACCCGAAGGGCTATAGTAATAGAAACATTTGATAAAACACACTCTACTTTTTAAATTTCATATGGTAAAATTTCACAAAAAATGTGGTCATAAAAAGACATTTTACCATGGACTATTATTATTACATGCWATTCATAAGAGMATTCTAATTTCATCCGATAAATCAAGTCTTATGAAAAACTATTGGAAAAGGGATCGAAAAAAATTGAAAGCATGGTTTATAGGCTCACACACGACAAAGCCGGCATGATCAAGCATTAAAATTGTCTCGTAATATACGTCTTTAAGAAATATTCAAAGTTCCATACTTTAAAGAACAGCTACTCTGTCATTAAATATTTAAACAATCATGTTTCAAACAATGGAAATGAAGATAGAGGTAGAAAACTGACCTAAAAGTTGTCAAACTGAAGCTGTATCTTTCCGACATCTTGGATTTATTTACCCATAAGACTTTGCAAAGAAGTGAGTCAGCATCGGATCCAATCTCCACTCCAAATTTRCAAGGAACGCCTGACTGAACTAATCTTCAGGTGGTCGCCATTTTGAATGTGATTGAACCACAAGAGTCTAAATAGCCAAACAAAARCACTGTTGATGTCCACGAAACATGGAATTGGTAAATTTAAGCTTATAAAAAAGTAAGCTAGGACTGTAATTAAGCAGATTATACCGCAAAAAATGTCCCAAAGAAGTCAAAGTAGGAAGAATTTTGATAATCGTTGGCATAACAACGATGGAAGTGGACGGAGACAGTATTCACTGTTTTCACCATCATATTCATCACGTGTTGGTGACCAAGAGACTCATCAGTCACATCACAGCCGTTATAAAAATCATCATGACATGAACAGTCATCTTCATAATGCAAGGTCACATKATCAGACCCAAGCACAACATGGCTACCAACAAACAAACAGAAATTCACATATGCATTATTTCAGGACTCAAAGTAATCTTTGGCAAGACAGGAAAAGGTCTCTTGATATCAGAAACAGTGGATTTAATGAACAACATCATGATAGCAAAAAGGTTTGCACTGAAGTATCAAATGCTCYTCAATCATCACAAATGAATAAAGAATTCTCACACAACCAGAAAGGCCATTCCAATGAACCAGCACCTTGTCACTTTAACACCTTAACAACTTTAGGCCAGCAGTCTGAAGAGCATTTGTTAGTTGGTGCTGGCAATAAACGACGATTCCATTCTTTGCATGGACATGAMGATTCTGAAACAAGAACTATTCAATCTAAGAAATGTAAAGCTGATTATCAGCAAGCCTCAACTTCAAATCAAAGTGAACCATCTATGCCTTCAAGAACTAACTCAGGTTTTCAAAATACTAGAGTCAAACAAACAACTTTTGTAGAAGCACTTCCTTATCCAGCAGAAGGARTAGAAGCAGTCTATACAAAGAATGCTGTAGATGCAGAAGCATGGCTGAAGTCTAATATCATTGATCCWGCTGTTACAGAAATAGGTTTAGACATTGAATGGMGACCTCAGTTTATTCCAAAGAAAAAAGGTGGAAAAGAAAACAAAACTGCTGTGTTACAACTATCAGTTGAAAACACCTGTCTTGTTCTTCATATTTTTTACATGAAGCAATATCCAAAGTTACTTTCAGATGTKTTATCAAATAGAAAAGTTCTCAAGGTTGGAAGTGGAATAAATGGAGATGTAATGAAGCTCTTGAACGACACAGGTTTGTTATGTGACGGAAGGGTAGATACCCAAGATTATGCAAAAGCTCTTGGAATACAAGAAGGAGTTGGTCTGAAAAACCTTTCTAAGCAAGTGCTTGGCATTGAAATGAATAAACCAAAGTCTGTATCTATGAGTAACTGGGAATTTTTTCCTTTGAGAAAAACCCAAATCCACTATGCWGCTTTGGATTCATGGGTGAGTTTAAAGCTATATTTGAAACTGAAAGAACAGTTGGARCTTGAAMATAAARGGAAATTGAGRCAAAMAAYTGTTGAAGTTCATTATGGAGAACCATCTAGTAAAGGAAAAAAGAAGACATTCATAAAACTAAGACAGGTTGTTAAAGGTTTACTAGTAGTAAAAAGTAGTGAAAGCTCTGCCTCCAGTCAAGAAAATCCACAGACAAAAGAGAAGCCAGCTTGTGGATCATCTTCTCAGGATGATAAAATWTTCAAATGTCCTATAATTGAGTGTTGTGGAAGGTACGAGAATGAACAAGAGCTACAAGACCATATCAAGAACAGACATGTTGCTTGTAAAGTTTGTGGAAAACTTTACCGAACAAAAGTGTCAGTAAAACACARGAAGCAACATACAAAAGAGTAAAATGTGAAATGATAAAATACCCTTATCTGGTCGTATTTAATTATCTTAATGAGAAAAGTTTTCCAAAAAATTTCAATTAAATTTACTGTAATATATGTTTGGTGGTTTTTAATTATAAACCTTTTAACTTATTTAAGATTTTTATTCTTTAATATATGTGCAGAAGCATAATTATTTTAAATGGGAAAATAAAGCTAAAAAATACTATTTCTTGTAGACCTGATTTGCGTCTTTTTTTCCCGAAATTTACTCTTTTATTTACTCTTTTCCTTACCGCAATAAACTATGCCACAGGAACCCCATAACTACCATAGACCGCAGTGCATGATGGCCAAAATTCTCTCAGACACGTGAACGAGTCCTCTTTCTCGAAGCCATCTTGAAAACCACCATTGAGGTTTGGTAGTGAATAAAAGTTCACTTAAAAACAGCCAACATGGGTCGTATGCATGCACCCGGGTACGTCATTTAAGTAACTAGAGTATTTTCATGTTCTCTGATGTGTTTTTAATAAAAGTATTTCAACGTAGCTCATAAAATCATGTTTCAAAGATGAGCATCTGAGAGTCAGTCGAAAACCATGTGAGTGCGGACAAATTCTTTTGTAACAAGATTTCCTTGGATTTTTATTGTAGAAAGGGTATCTCTGGATCGGCTTTGCCATACCGTCGCAGTGTTCCTACGGTAAGCAGTTTGCTTGTTCTAAAAGTTCTAAAGAATTCGGTAGAATTAAGACATGATGCATGCTAAATACGATCATGAAGCCGGCAAACACAGTCAGTTGATTGTAAACTTTCCGATTCTGGAATCACAAGGTCGTTATTTTTCTAATCAGGAATGAAGATTGTTTAATGTTTGTAAACTTAACGTTTCAGTGGATGAAATTGACTTCAGATGATGTAAAGGAACAGATGTACAAGCTGGCCAAGAAGGGCCTTACTCCTTCTCAGATTGGTAAATACTAGTGTTTGAATGCCTCCTTGATCCTAACCAGAGAGACATGACTTAGTGGAATTTATTTGAAATGCGACCATAGTTATAACTGTGCCAGTTATTGATTGGTACAGTTATACAGAGTCTTGTTAGATACTTATATACAATGGAAGTCATGGATTGAAATTCCAGGCCATTTCTACTGCAACATAGTCTTCATCATGCAATGGTATAGACTGGATACAAACTCAGTTTGTTACATAAAACTCAAGCCATCATGGACTAATTATCATATTAAAATTTCTTTGTTTCTGCAAATAACCCATTTATTCTAGATATAGGGTGTTTGTTCAGTTGATTGTAATGATTCATGACTGGAGTGTTGTTGTTAAGAAGTAATGTCAATCATCTCTTATAGGTGTCATCCTCCGTGATTCACATGGTGTCGCTCAAGTCCGATACATCACTGGAAATAAAATCCTTAGGATTTTGAAAGCCAAAGGTTAGTTCTTATTTCCCATTGAAAGCATTAATGGTGTTGTTCATAATCTGTGGTGTAGGTTGAATTCCTCTGGCTTTTGTGCCATGTTTTTGCTTATCTTCACCTTTAATATCATTAAAAGATTGGTCAATTCTTAARAGGTTTCTCTTGCTTTTAGGTCTTGCTCCTAGCCTCCCAGAGGATCTCTATTATTTGATCAAAAAGGCTGTTTCTGTTAGAAAACATCTTGAAAGGAACCGYAAGGTTTGTAGCTCAATGTATACTTGATGGTTTTTTCACTGTTGTGAATGTTTTCTTGGGATAAAYCCTGTTCTCCCTGCTAAGATTCAATCTTGTTTACCAGATGGTTGATGTACTTTGATTTGTCTTGGTTGTGGTTGTTAACTAGTATTTATTATTGTTCTTTTTTAGGATAAAGACTCCAAATTCAGACTCATTTTGATTGAAAGTAGAATTCACCGTCTTGCCCGATACTACAAAACCAAAAGAGTCCTCCCTCCCAACTGGAAGTAGTAAGTACAGTTGTCATATCACAATACTTTTAGAACTTATTGAATTGCACTGTCAGTTTATAAACTTGAWAAAGTCAGTTCTCATAAAAGTAGTACTTCAAGAATTTACAGTAGTTTTTTGTAGTTTTTATATAAAACTGCATATCTCTGAGTGCTATTTATTGTATTGTCACCCTTATTGAAAGACCTTATATTGAAGCAAAACATGCTAACATCTCTTACTCGAGGGTTGTAATTTTTTCATTTCTGTAGCCATGACAATGTTTGATCATATCTTTGTCTTTAGWATCTGACTATGTAATCTTGTTTTCGCATGATTAATGTTTTCACTTATAATGCAAYTGAAAAATATTGTTCCTCAAACTAAGAAATTACATGTCTAAATTGACTAGAAGATCAATTTTTACTAGATGTGCTGTCAAATTCAATCAATTTAAGAAAAAATTGAAGCTTATTTTACAACTATCATTAATTTTGAGGCATTTGTTTAATTATTGCTTGTCGATATTTTTTAATCTTCAAGACTTGATGGATTGTTAATGAATTTTTCGTTTTTTTTGTTTCCAGTGAGTCATCCACTGCCTCTGCTCTTGTGGCTTAAGTATTATGAAATAAAATTCAACTAGAATAATCTCTCAATGTCTTGGTTTTCTTTCTTTTCCTCATTCAATCTCTTGTCACTTGTAAATCCTCTTTATTATCAAATGCCTTTACTATAGTTATTACAAAATGGTATGGTAGTTAGTGAAGCCATCATGCATCACAAATCAGAAATTTGTGAAATAAAAGTCAAAATCTCCATCCCACCCCCCCTCCCCTATGTTATCGCGTTTCTGGTAATGCATTTTCCCATGTACCCTTTCGGGCTCCATTTGGAGYCAAAGACGAGTCGGACAGATTTTTTTCGTTGGCTTGTCAATATTGTAGGATTTATATAATRTATAGTAGAACAGAAAATTACGGAGAACAAAKKCMMGATAAATCCAGTGCGMGMACGAAGAAAAAGATAAGATTTATCACAGGAGGTACGAGTACAGGAAGACGGGGGCAACACTTCATCATTTGCTCAAATAATTGCTGATATTGAAGTCTATACTACTAAGGATGAAATATACCATAGTTGTAATAGCGCAATTTCATATATTGCTTCTTTACTTTCGCGCAAAAAAGAATCTTTTGTATTAAGTTCTTTGTTGCTACAAGMTCAATGTCAAGGTTGCGCGGTGTTCATGCAAAGACCCACGTCGGTCTTATGGCTGCTCCTTATCTTTTATCTAAACAAGCGCTTAAAATCCTGTATTAACGCTCAAAATGTCATGTTCTCTAACTTGTTATTGAGTAAAGAAGTGCATTTTGTTATGTTGGGCGCGTTTTTTACCATCTGCTCTGGAATGACTGTCAGTAAATGTGATTTGTGTCCTTTTAAGACGCAAGTCAAACTTAATAAAATAGCATCCGCTGTCTTTTCGTAACTAGGAAAATAAGCCCATCGTGAGTAATATGATATTTAATTACCGTATTATCTTGATGTTTTATGCTAAAAAGGTCTAATATTTGGGTGTTCCCGGACATTATTTTATTCTTCATATAGTCATTCGCTACACATGTCTAAAACTAATGATGAGTTATCGCTCATTTATAGTTCCTTCTGTTCTAATTAATGAGTTTATACTGCTGGATGAAAGCCTTTGCCTTGTGAATTAGAATATCATTAAGTTCGGATTTTGAGGAGTGGTCGGCTGTTCTTGCGTGAATAAAGCTCAGCATATTTGATTAATTTTAAGCCAGGAAATTCCTAMCGTTTCCAGCACTCCACCTGTTCTCTATCCCAATACTACACTGTAGTTACAAAACTTCAGTTATCAAAGTCAAAGCCTTGGTTCACCTTAACTTCTTCCAAGTCAAATAAATTTGAGTTCAGTTCCTTAATCGGACCAAGACTTGATAATGTTGAAGAGCGCGGCTTTGTTCCGTTATTAGTGCTACCTCTATGGCTAGTTCTGTTTATYTTTGGATGAGTAGCTTCCCATTGTAGTTCTAGCGCCACTTCGCCGTTTGATATCTCGGGTCCAAAACTTACCCGCCTTTGACTTGAATGAAAAGGTTTAGTGATTGATCGACGGTTTGGATTTGACCGAGAGAACACGTCGGAATCGCMGTCATCGCTTTTTGTAAAAGAAAGACATCGAATTTGAGGTTCCTCTGTGCCTGGTAATGTTGCCCACTCAATAGACGCCGTACTRAATACKGAATTCTTTCTCTTGGCATCCATGATTCCAGTAAAACGAGATGAGTTRCTGAGGGTTCTTTTTCGATCCCTTGTCTGTGTCGTGTTKCGCAAGCTGATGATACTTTGATGTCTTCTTTCCTCTCTCTCGTACCTGAAGTGGCATCTTATTGCATGTCTGAAMGCGATTCTGAAATTTTTATTTAGGACGGCGTAAACAATGGGATTGGCAACACTGTTAAGCAGYCCGAGAAAATTCCCGACAAAGACAAAGACGTCCGGGGACTTGAAGTCGTTTGTCGGAGGAAAGATGTTCAACATCTTGTTGATAATGTAAGGCAGCCATGAAAAGGCAAAAAGAAGCACGACTGAGAAGAGCATTTGAAGAATTTTCTTTTTATCTTGACTTAACTTGGCTTTTCCTTGTGATGTTTGAACTCCTGGTGGCTCTCTTCGATACAACTTACAACCAATTATGAAGTAAAGAACAGAAATTTGTAAAACGAAAAGATAGTAGCAGGCAATGCGATAAAGTTGATAGCTATGTAACTGTTCTTTTGTGTCCCATGTTTCGGTGCACATCAAAGCGTCCTGTTGATTGTATGTCATTTTGACGACATCRTGATGGAGAAGAGAGGGAACTAGAAGAAAAGGCGATACGCACCAGATGAAAGCCACCACTCCTTTTGCTCTTGTAGGAGTAACAATTCGTTTCATTGGAAAAAAGATGGAAAGAAATCTGTCGTATGAGATTGCAAGCAGACTCAAAGCTGAAGCCATGACTGATGTATGGACTAGATACGAGATGATTCTACATACAGTCCCGCCAAAGTGCCAWACTGGCCAGGTTATRACRTTRTAWACAAAAAATATKGGCATRCARATKGAAGTTACAAGCAAATCAGCAGACGCAAGGCTAGCGATGAAAAAGTTTGTACTCGAGTGAAGACCACGGTTGCAAATCACAACTACAACCACAAGAAGATTTCCCCAGCTGCCAAAGAAAATGGAAATTATGTTGGCGAGACCCAGAACTATCGCAACAGCAATAGAACCACTTGTAGTTGCACTCACTGTAGCGTTTTTCCCGCTGGTTGAGTTCATCTCTGTGAAGTTCATTGTTGGTCTGATMTRTTTTGATGWGGTTTCTSTAAAGTAGTTTTTYCTGCGTGACGYTTGATTGCTCTCAGTTGTCCTCTGTCAGTTAGGTCTTTCATCCTTTATGTATGGTGTTCATTTGTTAGATTGGCTAAGAAGACTCCTGAAAAAAAAGAACATGATTAATGGGATTAGTGTAATTCACAATTGATTAGTACAAAGCAAAATCATTATAGCGAACGTTATAGATTGTCATCCGTATATCTACTGCTARACTGTTGATTATTTCCTTTCGTTGTCATTTATCACCAAAACAGTCAAAACCATCAGTCCAACAAATGACSCAACAACTGACCATTTCCATCCCGACACCTTAGCAATCAGYATCACTACRTTTACGCGGACAGAGAATTATAATGGTAAATAGTTATCCAACATATTGCCTAGGAAAGGAAACAGCTTGTTTAATCCCAGTATGAAAACCTTATAGTAGCCTAACGAAAGGCACTTAAACCTTTGCGTTTGTTTTACGTGTTGACTTTGAACGTTTGTTGCCGGTGATTTACCGACAATATTTACGTGTATAAACACCTGGCCTAATCACTTGCGCAATAGTTACCATGTCAGTAGATCAGAGTTTGAGCGAGTGGTAATTTGAAAATACTTAAAGAGTAATTCATGGGTTTTTGAAAGTCATTTTAACAAGTGCACAACACGAAAGCGGAAAAGTGACKCTACATGATTACTGACTGATGTGGGATAGAAGCGATAACTAGCGTAAAACTAGTGTGAGGTGCGTCAGTGTTTCTAATGAAATAGTTTGAATCAAAAATGAATTTTACACYGTAAAAGATGGAAAACCTACCGACTTTCGGACATTGATGCTTGATCAGTGTAAAGAGTGAATTAATGAGGGATCAGCTTGATACATGTTAAAGATTCTGAGATAAGACATCTGAACATGCGCAATGGGTATATATTAAGAGCCATGATTGATTCCTTCTGTTATCTGCCATTTTGTGGTGACTTTAATAATGTTCAGTCTTCATTGTTATTATTGTAAAGTATTAATTAGTGTTTTTCTTTGTAGGTTTGAATGGTTGTTTACTATCTTTTCCCTTTTTTTGGATTCATTTCCAACGAATGGGTTTTCTTAGAGTACTTTTTCATTTCCGTTTCTGAGTCAGCGATAAATTAAATGTTATCCAACAATAGTAATCCATGTAATTCAGCCAGCGCTTCTCTGGAAACATAGTCAGGTGTCTCCTTCGACTATAATTTAATAGCTATTTCATTTTGGGTATTTCTATCAAAGTGATAATATTTTTGTCTCGGTCATTTGAAAAATGTAGGTATTTACTGCAAAGATGTCTCAGTGTAGGTCGACATCCCTTGATTGACTCTTCGCCGCATCTCAATCAAGGCTTAGTTCCGGTCAACGCGCACAACTGTTCGTCTCGTCGTCTCTTTTTTTAATAGTTCTGTGCGTCTCAAAGTCGGCAATTTGTCGCTAAACCAAGAACAACCCGAAAAAAAACACTCGGAGTTTCAATTGGTGTCTTTTTTGGATTTGGAAAGATAGAAATTAAATCCATTCKGCAAGAACATACTTCATCTCTCCATTCACTTCCTGTTTTTTCCCGTAATCATTTAATTTGCGCTATTTTTTGTTAAGAAATAAAGTTTACCCTTGTGCTTCACCATTCATACAGACACCTTTATCTATGTAAACGTTTTAGCGACAGTGTAAACCCGTTTTAGTAATGATATACTCGGCAACACTTCCTGAGTGAACGTACATCTCGGTAACCGAACCTCATACAAATAAAGTGCTAAAAGGTTYAGAGTGTAAGAAAACTCTTGAAATTGTAATATGTTAATGCATTTTTCCATTGGAACAACCGTGTCGAGTCAATGATTCACAACCAGTTCCCATGGTAATACCTATCGACCTGACACCTTAATAAAATGAGTGTATTTTTAGCTTTAGTTTCGTTATTGCGCCTTT